ACAGGTAACCAGTAAATGCCATGATATTCGTCGCCTTGCCCTTGCTCTAAACATAAGCCCGAAGTGGAACACCGTGATGGATAGGCAAGCAGCGGCTTGCGCTGCGTGAGAGTTGTTTGAGCGAGCGGCCGAAGGTTGAATTTGACAAAGAAAATCGCAGAGAACGGGTGAAGTAAAATAGCCGGGTACTCTCGGTGCGGTACTCCGTCGTGGAAATATCGAACACGCCAAATAGTAAAGATGTAGTGTTGACAAGTCTATTCGGCGGGTTGGGAGAATCGAATCGGAAGGCCCAGAGACGCGTGAACGGATAATTGGTCGAGAAAAGCGGAGCCCCGGCGGTGTATCGCAGCGCGACGTGTCATTATCGCGACCGTTCATTTACAATGCGCTGTATGATAATAGTACGGGCTTGTAGCCGAAAACAGCTGAATCCGTCGCTCATGCAGAAGAGTCGGAAACATGGATCGAATAAAAAGGAACCCAAAGTGGACAGAATGGTATGAACCCAGCCAAAGGGAGCCGTCCCTGAGGAGTATCAAGCGCCCAAACACCATAAGCTATGGAAACGAGATGAAAAAGTGACTGTTTTCTCATCTATTCCTCGACTTTCCTCCTCTTTCCCCTGGGCGCAGGCTCGAGAGGAGTGACTGGGGTGCGCGTGTACGTCACGGTCCGGGTGACGACCTGGCGCACGCTCACAGCTCGCTGCCTTCCGGGCTTGCCGGCTTCGTCTCGTTCCCGTGGAGAGAGCGTGGCGCTGAACGGAGACTGGACGGAGTGGGCGCTGAGAGGCGATCGCGCACTGCTCGGGCTGAAAGGTGAGGGGCACCCGTTGTAACCGCGAGGGCTGGCGGTGCGCGCAGACATGGGCCGAGTGAATGGGGAGGGAGGAATGGTGATCTTCGGCGAGGGCCTCGCCGCCTTGGTGCCTTCTCCTGCTGTCGCGGCGCAAGAGCAGGCGCTGGTGGCGCTGGATGGTGGTTGAGAGGCGGACGGAAGAGGGCTGGATTTCTCCGAAATGGTGGCGCTAGACGGAGCGGGCGTCTTGTCGCCGAAGGTGAACTTGGAGCTGCTCCCGGTGGGGAGGGGAGTGAGGATGGATGGCGAGAAGGCCTTCAGGAAGTCGACATAGGCGTTCGGAGGGGTGATGGGCGTCTTCAGAGCACCCTCCTCGCGCTTGATGAAGGCGGGGCTGCCCGGGAGAGGGCTGCGGAGCTCGGACGGATAAGTGGCCGAGAGCGGAGTCTTGATGGTGGAGATGGGCGGAGCCTGGGGCTTGCTCGTGGCGGTAGCGGCAGCCATGGCGGCGGCAGGGGGAGAGAAAGAGGGAGCGAGAGAGCGGAGGACCGGTGACGGCGAAGCGAATGGGATGGGACCACACGCAGGTGCTAGAGAGTTATAAGGCTCCCAGGACGAAGGTCGCGCGGTGGGGAGAAAGAAGAGAGGAAGAGAGAAGGGCTCGGGGCGGGCGGGAAGGCGTGGTTTTAGGCAGCGGACGCAAGGCTTAGCTGGGAACAGGCGCTCCGCAGGCGCTGGGCAGGCGCTGGGCAGGCGCTGAGCAGGCCGGCTGCTGGCGCGCGCTGTCGCCGTTCCGTGAAGCTATTTTGGGGGGCCAGGGGGGCCGAGGGGCGCTTGGAGGGCCGCGGCGCTACCAGCTGGGGGTCCGCTGTCACACGCAGGCCAGCCGCCGGGCGTGCCAGTCGGCGAGGCCCCGACGGCCGCTGTTGGCCCCAGAGCCGGGCGCCGCGCGCTGGTTGGCTGCCGCCGCGGGCGCGCCCAGGGCCTCCCCGGACGTGAAACGCGGGCGGGTGATTCGCTGCCGGTGCCTGCAGCGCCAAAACGCCGCCCGCTCCCAAACCGCAATTGGCCCGCCGCGCCCGCCGCTGTTGCTGACGGCCGCCGGCGCTGTTGCGCGACCGCCGGCTCGTTGGTGGTGGCGTCTGCTCTTGCTTGACTCCGCGGCGCCCGCGCCGCGCGGAGGTGGTGATAGAGAAGACGGTGTTGGCGCGACAGGAATAGAACCCTCGCGCGTTCGCTGGCTTGTCCGTCGACAGACTGCCGGCCGGCCGTCGCGAGGAACGAGGTGCTTGTCTGCAGCTGCTGTCGCGCTCCGGCCTCGTCGCGTTTCGTGAGTGCTCTCTCCCCTCTGGTCAATCCTGCTTGCTGGACAGAGGCAGGATTGACCGTCGAGGCCGCGCGCCTGCCCGAACCCTCATCTCCCGCAAAGCCCGCCGGACGAGGCGCGGCCTGAGGCCGGCGTGTCGCGTGGCCGTCGAGAGCTCGTCGCCGCCAGCGGGTTATAGATAGCATCGTGGTTCTCGAGCGCCCCGCCGGGCCGCGCGCCTCCCCGCGCGGGCGGCTCGCCCAAGCACCAGGTCCCGCCCGACCGCCCACCCTCCCCCCAAACCCCCACCAATCCCCAGCCCGACTGCGCCGCGGGCCACCATCGCGGGCCTTGGGTCCTGGGCCTGAAAGCTTCGCGTGTCGACGTTCGCCATTCCGGCCCCGCAGGCGCCCTGCACTGAGCGCTTAGCGTCCGCCATGCTTGCGTCTTCCTGCCGGCGCTGGTTATTTTAGGATCGGGCAGTTCTTCGCGTGTTCGATGACTTGCAGTAGATCTGCGACTGGATCTGCTGCGAGTCCGCTCCCCTTTTTTAGATCTTTCCCTGCTCCTTACCGGCACGATGACGCCCTCAGCCAGTAATGTGACCTGAGCACATGTCGCTCCGTCACGCCCCACCTGGGCTCCGATTGCGTGTTGTTCAAAGCCGCCCGAACCCCCAAGCGCCGTTGGCTGGCAACAATCGCGACGAGGCCGCAACGGTACATCTACATATTGCCTCCATGGCATCCACCCAGAGGCAAGTGTAATGCAAAGTCGAAACCAACCTCTCTAAGCGCTCTGTTGGCGATGCTGACTGTTGCCAATTTCCGTCGAGGCGCCGACTCTGTCTGGTATGAGCTGAATGAAGTATTTTGGGTTCTCGCTCCCGACACCTCCGTTTACGATGCTACGGCCAAAATAGAATCGCTTTGTAGTGAAGACTGTTGTGAAAGCGGGCATGCCCCTTGAGCGCCTCTAGGTTCACTGCGCGCTTCTAGCTCATAGGCTGTCTGCGCATGTAGAACTGAAGGACATGGAATAGTCAACCCAAAAAAAAAAAAATAGACATTGGTTGCAACTGATTGCATTAGGGGTAAAAGGTAGTACCAAGCGTGTCCCGTCTGTTGTCGCTCCTCAGTCTAGAGTTGCAAGTATGATCCTTTGGTAGTCATCAACAGCTCTTTCCAACTCCTCAACAGCAAGATGCTCGTGGTCGGAATGCGCGACCAGAATGCTTCCTGGCCCGTAGAGATACCTTTTGTGGTTGCCAGTGAGGTTGGGGACGTCCGTGCCATAATTGACAGTTATGATATCAAAACCAGGAATATCATGATCGATGTCAACTGGCGCGTAGGCATTCCCTGAGAACTCAACTGCAAATTCACCGCCTGCCTCCTCAGCTTCAGTTGCCGTTTCGTTCAAGGCTTCTAGGATCATGGATTTAATAACCGCCGGCGTCTCCGCAGCAATTCTCACCGCAAACATTGCCTCTGCCTGTTCTGCAACGACATTCGCCGCCACTCCGCCATCAATGCGCCCAACGTTGAGAGTTGTCTCCCCGTACTTCTCACTTTGGGGAAGCCGCCCCCTTAGCTTCATCAGCTCCCCTGTGGCACGGACAAGGACGTCGTTGGCACTGACACCCAACCACGGGTAGCCGGAGTGCGCAGCTCTGCCTTTGACCTTGATTGTCATCCCGAGGATGCCCTTGTGGCCTGCCGCAAGCTTGCCTTCGGTGGGTTCTCCAAACACTACGGCTTTATATTCACGCGTCTTTTGCGTCGAGAAGTGACGCATGCCATCTCCGGCGGTCTCTTCTCCCACCACGAAAAGCATCGAGATCGAGTCTGAAGGGACCTCATCATCAGAAGAGCAGTGTCGCAGTAGCTTCAGCACGGCGGTAATCTGGGCGGCTACACAAGCCTTGGCATCAACCGAGCCTCGACCCCATATCTCGGTATGGTTGGATCGCAGCTCATATGGTAAATACGGTGGCACCTATCAAAGTTTCGGCAACCAGCGTCTGTCAGCTGGCTACAGATCAAAGCGCCATTGGCAACATGGGAAATTATAAAGTCGATTGGCAGGCGAGAGACTTGTAGAAAGAGCCTTCAGAAAGCTGAAGACAGTTGAAACCAAGGCAATAGACGCCTCCGGCAGAAGATACTGAAGAAATGTGCGGTTAATTCTACACCAAGGAAATCACAGAGAGCAACACGAACCGTGTCAATATGGCTCGTCACAAGAGTCTTGCTATTATCTTCATCGCCCATATACGCAAATACGTTGAACCGCCTCGGTTCCACTTCCTGCCTTTCCACGGTGAAATTCTTCGACCTCAGAAATGATGCCAGCCAGGTTCCGATCGAGTATTCGTCGCCAGAGATGGACTCGATCTCAATCAGCTTCCTGTGCAACCACAGGAGAGGGTCATCATGGTACTCGTTCGCCGTGCCTTCAGCTTGTAGATTATCCGGGTGGGCGATCAATGGGTGTTGAGTGGGTTGTGCAAAGGTGCGTCCAAGCGCAGCGAGTCCGAGTAGGAGGATTTGGGGCCGCATGTTGGTATAAGCACGTGAGCTGGCGGTCCTGGAGGGAACGAATGGTCTCGGCGGTGTCGAAGTTTAGAGTTAGGTGCAGAGGGCCGAGGATCCCGATGCCGAGGCACGCGATGCCGCCTAGTATGAGCTGACGTCATCTTGCGACTCATCAATGATCAGAGATGTATCGACATAGAAGGCAACAACAGGCTGTTGATCGCTGTTGGGAGACTTAAGTTAACATTTAAAATTAGATCGACTAGTTCTCATAAAGTTAAGTAGCTGCTGAGCCGGTTTCATTTTTTATGTTTATATTTACTACTTACTCTTCAAAATCTGCTAACTTGCCTCTTGGTTGTGTGGTCTAGTGGTAGGATACCGCGTTGTGGTTAAACAACAAACCCGCGTTGGCCTGGGTTCGATTCCCAGCACAACCAGCTTCTTATCTATTGATTTTTGTAGATCGCATGTAAAGCGAGCAAGCTATATTTCTTTTAGACTTTTCTGACCGCCAGCAGAGATAAGTTTTTAAGACCCGAAAATGCATGCTGGCATCGTATCTACTTTGCATTTTGCCGTATCTTGTTAAGACTGTTCATTGTATACCGGTACAATAGGCCCGAGGGAGAAATCATCTCCGTAGTACCTTCGCGTAGAATTCTGCAACTCTCATGCCTGATGTTCCGAAGAATGAACCAGTCTATTACCGGCTTTCTAGTACAGTAAGTAGGTCGCCGTACCCATGTACGATCCGTTTAGGCGGAAATTACTCCGTGCTACCTGATGTGGTATACCTAGAGAATTATTCGTTTTAACCGAAAACATGGATCCTGCCCCACCCATCCCATCCCGTCTACCCGCAACGTTGAAAACTCAAATACGGCGTGGTTGCCCACTTCTACCGTCATCTTTACTTTGTGTTGCTGTGTTGTTCACTCTGCGGACACTGGCTGCGCACGACTGAATACGTCTTTGAATCCTACAGGGGCTGGAAAACCCGACGTTTTAGTCCTTGGGCTCGATAAGGTCAGGAATCTGTTCCGGCTTCACTTTGCCCTCGAGGATGTCTTTTCCCGAAATGCTTTGGTTAGCAGGTGGTTATCATTGCCAGCGCTGAGACGGGCCAAGCGTAGCAAAACTCACCGCAGACAGCCGTCAAAAGCGGGAACTCCTTCTCCAGCTTCTGCTTCTTCAAGAAGCCGTTGACCTCGTACGCCGTCGAGGTGCCCTGCAGCTTCTGGCCGTTGAGCTCGGTGCGCTCGACCTCGAAGACAGAGACGCCGCGCTCGACAGCCAGCTTGGCGCAGCGAAAGTTGCGGCCGCCCATGCAGCTCGTGATCATGTCGGCGACGCCGCAGCTCTCCTCGGTGAAGGTGCTCGTGCGCACCGAGTCGGCGAAGAAGATCTTGCCGAACTTGACCTCCTCGAGGATGCCGACGCGCATCACGGCCGCCTTGGCGTTGTCGCCCCAGCCCAGCCCGTCCACCCAGCCCGCTGCCAGCGCCACGATGTTCTTGAGCGCCCCGCCGAGCGACACGCCCGCCACATCCGACACCATGCGCACGTGGAAGTACGGCCGGTGGAACAGTTTCTTCACGTTTTCATGGGTTAGCGGCGGGTAGTCGGCGGGCAGGGCGTGCAGTCTCGGCCCGGACTTGGACGCGGCCTTGGAGAGGTCGACCTGGGACGAGTACGGCGACCCGACCGGAGTCGGCTGTCGCGAGTCCATCGGGGGCGGGTCGTACGCGACGGTGGTCTCGGAGTATTTCTCCCTCGCAATCTCGCTCGCGATGTTGGCCCCAGACAGAGCGCCGCAGTAGATGCCCAGCTTGTGGCCGATCGATTCGGAGAAGAGTTGGATACCCTGGTCAGATACGTCGACACCCTTGATGCACGAAATGCCTCGCGCGTGCGGTATTATCTTGCCCCTGATCTGCTCGCAAATCCTGCCAATGAACTGGTGCGGTATCACGAAAATGAGTATCGTCGCGTCCTTTACCGCGTCCTCGACCGACGGGTTTGCGACGACGTTGTTCGGGAGGGTGATGTCAGGCAGGTACTTGATATTCTCATGCAAACCGTTGACAAGAGCCGAGAGCTTCTGAGGACCGCGACAGAATTCGGAGCCAGGATCGTAGTGCCTCGACTTCTCCGAGACGGTCACCTCTTCTTCGTACACCCACATCTGCACTGTCGGTTCGAATAGGTTTGGATATGCGGCCGTGTTTTCCGCGACGATCTTGGACATTGTGGAACCCCTTCCCTTCGTGAAATCTCGGTCAAAAACACTGCTGCAAGAGGTGCATTGAAGCACCTCAACCAGTTTGGAAGGAGCCGTACCAGTTTCCAGAGCCCACCACCGTGACCTTGTGCTTTTTCAGGCTTGAAAGAGAAGCCATTGTGGAAAACGGCAACCGCTTCGGGGTCGAGAATTGCAAGTAAATGCTAGCTAGGTTTCTGAAAGCTATGAATGAACGGCTGAGATAGTTCGGTATGGAGGTTAGGGCTATGCACATGGGGGCACAGAGCACACTCGTAGATTTTGTTGAGGACTTGCCCGACTACGGCGACCTTTACTGGCACGAGGACCCTTGGACCGGCACGCGGACTCGCCCGCGGGGTTACATCATCTCCGCTACAACTGTCGGATTATCCGTTTGCCCGCCCTTTCGACGGCGAGCCAATCAAGATTGGGCAGGTCGAAAAGGAGGAAGGACGCACCATGAACCTACGTAGTAGGTGCTCCGCAGACGAGGCAGATACTGAAAAATCGTTTGCACTCAAGTGCCTAGGCGCCTAGGTGCGGAGACATAGCTGACGTCGAAGGATAATGCGAGACCCTCAAGACGAGTCTGGAGCGTTGGCATCGACTTTAGTAGCTCCTGTACCGTAAAGCAGAGGCTGCGGAGGTCTTGTTTCGGCAGAGAACTCCATGCAAAAGGATGGACCGGGGCCGCGCAGAATGCTGGGCCCGGGGGAGCATGCAGGATTCAAGCACTTCGAATGAGCGGCACATGCTGCTAGGTTTTGCGCACTGGCGGAGTGCGACCGAAGGGGCCTCGGGCCAGAGGCTTAGGTATTTGGCTCGAGAGAGATCGGCCTCAGGGCTCCAGGGACAATACATAATGGCATAGACTGGCTGATAATGGTAACGGGGGTCGGCGGCTCCAACAACGTGCTGGGCGGAATCCAGTGGAGTCAGGCGCCCATTGGCCGTGGCGCCGTCGTACGCTTCGGGTAACGCACCTCTTAGTCTGGCGGTTTGGTCAGCAGACTGAGGTATGTACATGTACATACAGAGCGACTCGGGCGTCGTACTAGCACGTGTGGCCACTATTAATAGGAACCTTCGGGCGTGAAAGAAGGACGGAAGTCGCAATATTTTCCAGGCGAAAAAGGACGGCTGGCGGGCGGGCAGCTACGGAGCACCTAAGCACAACTTGGCAATAGGAAATGTATTCCGTTCCGTCGCCGCCGGGAAGGCTTCCGGTCGTTTCGCGAGACAGGGAGCCCCCTGCTTCCAGGCGAAGCAAGACGAGCGGCCCGAGCAGCGGAGGGGGAAACTCCGCTCGAGTTTCGCCCATGGGAATCTCGAAAATTGCGGTCTGGCAGCTCAAGAACCGGATTACGGGGGCCGAGAGGGGAAAAAAAAAAAGGGTCAGTGCTTTCCCTTCGTTAGCGGCCCTTCCCTCCACCCACCCCACCCCCGGCAGCCGCCGCCCGGCGGGGATCCCCCCGGCGCAGCGTGGTGGGCCCCGTCGCCCCCGGCCCCCCTTGGTGGCGCGGCCGCCGGGCGGTCTGGAAGTCTGCGCTGCAGCGCTCGAGTCCTTCCCCGTCTTTCCGCTGTGCTGCCTGCGACGTCTCCGTCGAGTCCGGCGCCCCCCGAGTCCGGGAGAAAAGGAGTGTTCTCACCGTCTCTGAGGGCTTCCCGTTCGCGTGCCTGACGCTTGGGACGGGCGTTGGAGCAGTCAATGGCATGCGCTCGCCGCCGGGAAAAGCAATGCGCGCACTCGTGCGTCCGCCGGGCGGAGCGACGCGCTGGCGAAAAGCCACCGCCCGCCCGGGCACGGCACATGTGCTCTTCCATACTCTTCCAATGCGCCACAACTGCCAATGCCGCCCAAAACGTTAGGGACAATGCACCCGACTGGACAGTTGACGCTGTTGCATTCGTCGCCAAGCTGCGGGTTCCGGACGAATCGACAGGATTGCGCCTGTACTCATTCGGGCTAGGCAAGACCACCGGTGGGTAGTGATGGCCGTTCCGGCTAGTTCCTTTTCCCGCTAGAGCTTCAGCAGTCAGCCGGCCTGCATGATAACAAAGTCAATAAAACTTGAAAACCTGGCCGCCTCCGCCCACCAACCACCCGTTCGGACGCTCTGATCAGCCTTGCCTCTATCTGTGGCTGGTGCTGCTTCTTGCCTGATGATGCTTTGAATCAAAGGCGGGAAGACAGAAAGGACGAAAAAAAAAGAATTAAAAGAAAGAAGGCTGGTTTACAAAGGGCGATGTCGGAGCGGCCTCGAAAGTGTATCTTGTTACGTCGCCATCCAGTGGAATTTTGTCTCCCTATAATTCAACCCGAGTGTGGCGGCGACTAATGCGGCCTAACATAGCCACTCGCAGGTTTTTATGGTAAACTTGGATGCTGTCCTTGATGGAAAGGGGCCTGAGCTAAGGAATGGCGCACAAGGAGGTGCAAGCCATCTGGCCATCCCAGTCATTTACGAACTTGCACGGACTTTCCTTCGACTCGATGCACTATTCGCCTCCAGAAAGAAGCAAGATTGTACGGGGAAGTCGGAAGGAGAAGAATAAGAGGTGATTAATTCGATCGCCTAAGCACATTCAGGAATGATGGCCACCCCACCCATGCCCGAACCAAATCTCAGATAGAACTACAATGGACCATTAATGGCTAGAGAGATCGGATCATTCTATCCACAAGACAAAATCCTTCCAAGAGGCTAATTATGCATAGAATTAAGTGAAAGAACATAGGCATAAACTTAGGCCGCCAAATCGTTCCTAATGGGCGTCAAAGGAACGTCCGATCGTTGCTTCATGACAAGAAAAGTACAAACTTAGGGCAAAGGTATCCTGCTCTGCCACAAACGAAGGGAACTAGGTGTTGTCACTCGCCCTATCCAAAGTTAGCGACGGTAGTGGAAGCAATTTGCTCGCTACAACATCATTTCGAGCAAGTTCGTGATAAAGTTAGTAAGGGCGCATGGATGGGCCGGCGCCCATATGCATCGCGGGCATGCCACCAGGAGGTGCAGTGTTTGGTGGGACAAGACGGTGAAACATCTGAATGAGACGTCTTCCCACCGTTGTCTCTAGTTCCGTCCCATCTCGAGCAATTTTCACCTCCCTGTTAGCATTCCAGGGATTCCGTAGACCCCTGGTACGGTAGAACGGGAGTCTAGTAGTCGA